CCAACCAACCAACCAACCAACCAACCAACCAACCAACCAACCAACCAACCAACCAACCAACCAACCAACCAACCAACCAACCAACCAACCAACCAACCAACCAACCAACAACATCCCTTTTGGTTGGATCGTCAGTCTCTGTCAGTCCAGGGTCAGAGTTCCCGGCTGGGCAAAGCCGCCAGGTGCGGGCAGTGCCGGATGTGTTCCAGGCCGCCCCAGCCTGAATTCAGAGTCCTGACTTCAGCCCGACACCCATGAGGGGCCCGTCTGTCTATGAGGGTGCCCCGTGTTTGGGGTTGGGGGCAACCAAGTTCATTCCCACATTCCCTACTGAGCATCAGCAAGCACTGTTGATTGGGTGGTTCAACCTGCCGAAAGCGCAACAGTTTGCCATCTCGACGGGTAGGTACCCAGAACCTACTCATACTCCAACGGTGGGCTCTGTGCTGGGGAGTCCCTGATTTCCCTAAACATTACAGGGCGTCTTGAATAGGAAGCTGTGTGATTGTTGTCAAACTCCCTCCTAAGGCTACTAAGGCTTTGATGACCGTTCCCACCAACCAAGCAAACATGTCTTTTGACCGCGTCACATGGTTGTGTCTGTTTTTAAGGGCGACCCACAAAGGAAAGTGGCATTCCTTTTGGCTTCCCTTCAGTCTCCCCAAAAAGAAAAAGAAAGACCGATATAGCCATGGGTCAAAAGCCCGGTTAGCCCCCAGGGACATCCGATTCAATCCAACCACTAAAACAGGAAGCCTAAAATGGGTGGTGAATTCTCACCTACCAACCAACATGGGACTTCCCATAACGGTTTTGACTCAACACCCACCGCCATCTACGAGCGCTGCTGGGACCCGGTTCTTCGGGGTCGACGCCCGTCCAGGGCGAGGACTTCGGAGATCCCCCGGCCGCAGGGGCTGCAGCACCGCGGCCCCGATCTCAGGCGGAGCCGAGGGGCGCGGGGCGCGGGCGCGGGGTTTTCGCCGGAAAAGCCCAGCGCTGGGTTTTGCCGGGCGGGTGGCTCGGTCCTTTTTGAGGTCTCCCAACAGGGCTCCCCCAACAGGGCTGCTTTAACCACCCCCCCCCCGAAGCTTGATAGCCTTAAAACAGGCACGCCCCTATGAATATGAAGTTCGAGGAGTTGCTGGACATCAATCAATGTCCAAAGGGCCCCCAGTGAAACATCAGCCCAGAAAGTTCAAGCCAACACAGGCTGGTGGAACCATCCTGGCTCGCATCTGGGGTACACAGAAAATGATGTGATTCCAAATCATATTTAGTCTAGTCCACTCTACAACTTGAAATGGGTGTGTCTGATTCTGATGTTACCCTTTGCGGGTTGAAAGCCACCCTGGTTTTTTGTTTTGGGGGGGGGTCCCCTGAAAAGCCCCACACCCAAATAAGTTGTCCAGTAAAGGTTGGGTCAAACGGGGGGTGGGCCTTTGCTTCAACATCAGGGTTGGGTGATTCAATCTGTTGCAAAGGAAAATCCAAAGAAAGCCATCCATACTTGGGGGGGTTCGGATTTTTCAGAAACAAACCCAAATGAAGACCAAAGGGCAGCTTTGCGACACAACGGGTTATTTTGTTTTCCCCCCGTTTCGGGGGATGTCGATTGATCTTACTCTGGCAACCAAGCGGAAGTCGAACTGAGAAGTTCGAGTTTGAGTGGGATGCCCATAGGTGTCCTTTTGGGAAAGCCGTAGACCCCGTAAAAGGGGGAAGATCGTGTTTTCCGTTTGGTTCCCCTCAACAGGGGGGGCTCTCTCAAATAACAAGACCACCCACAAACCAGCACTCCCGCCACCCGGCACTCCCGCCACCCGGCACTCCCGCCACCCGGCACTCCCGCCCAACCTCGGCTGCGGGGATGTCTACCCTGCCTGGATGCCTTCGGCACGTTCTTGGAGACTGTGAGCACCCACGCCTTGGGGAGAAAAATCGAAGATCGCCGACCTCCAGCGCATATCCGATGGGGAAAAAAACGGCCGCCCGTGTTTGTTTCTTCTTCTTTTTGCGTAGACTCGAAAGGGATCCCCAGCAAACAAAGGGAAGAAGGACACAAGCAATCCACAGGGAAGTCACGACCCATGGGTGTTCTCAAAATGAAAATGGTCCCTCAAAGGTGCTGGTATCCTCGTGGTTTCCCTTTACCCACCAGACTCCCCTTCACGCCCCCGTCGTGGCCGCTCCGAGGCCGGAACATAGGTGTGGCTGGCTTGGTCCTCGGTGACACGACTGGCCCAACTGACGCCCTCTCCCAGGTTGCCATTGCTGAGGGTACCTGGAGCGAGATGGTTTCCTGTTTGCACGGGTTTCATCAGATTGCAGGTCAAACAACTCCACTTGGAGAACGAGCCGAGGAATCCGTCTCTACAGGGTTTCATTCATCCCAATGTCCGCCAGTCCGCCACAAGTTCCGGTTGTGATGGATATTTGTTGTATGACTAGCGTCCCAGCACTAGCCAGCCAAAAAAGTCAAAGGGTGGCTGTGGAGATTGGTTCTCTGGATGCAACATAGGGGGAAACCCACACATTGCGGTGCTCCTAGTTCCCCTTCAAACCAACCTTTAAAAGGACCCCACCAAAAAAAAGCACCTAGTCGGCCCGCCAAAATGACCGGCTTTTTCCCAGACGCAGACAGGTGGCACGAAATCACCGCGTTCTCCGGGTCCAAAACGGACGCATTTTTCGTCCACCCCCGCCCCCCCCCCCCCCCCCGTCGCGGCTTCGGAGCTGGGCTGCCGCGCGGTTCTCGGCACCCGAAGGGCGGCTCTCAGCGGCCTCGCGGCGTCGGGAGCGGTGCAATGGAGCTGTGGGTCACAAGGCCTGGTTACTTTGCAGTGGTTACATCCCAATCCAACCACATAGAATGGAGCTGTGGTCGTGGGACGTTCAAAGCAAAAGTCAGGATGAGCAAACCTGAGATCAGGTCGTTAGACCTCCGCAATTCCGAGCTCCACATACACATGGCTTCGGTGTCGACTCACGGCCAGCCACCTGCCCACCCAATTTTGGCATTGGTTCCACACCAGGTTTGTGCTTGTGGCTCACCCCACTTGCCAAATCAAACAAAGAATCAGAAACCCTGAAACTTGTTGAAGGCAACTGCCGCCCCCCCCCCCAAAAAAAAAAACACAAAAAACAAAACACAAACCAAACCAAACCAAACCAAATCAAACCAAACCAAACCAAACCAAACCAAACCAAACCAAACCACCAACTTCTTGGAAAGCTGATGGAGCCGAACCTCCAGGCCGCAGCTGGCCCTCAGCAGCGCTGCCGCCCGCTCCATGTCGGCGTTCGGCCCCTGATGCTTCGGCCGCGTTCACCCGAAGCCGCAGCTTCGAAGCGACCGCAGAGAGAACCGACGTGTTTCTAAGGTTTGAGTCCGCATTCTCTTCACCCATCGTTCTCATCAGACACCAACTATGTTCCAGGGTTTTGCATTCTTGTTTTGAAGAGAAGGATCCCTGAAGAGAATGGGGAGGGTACAGCCAAAGTTTTGTGGGAAACTTGTCAGAAGCGGCAAAGCACTTCTCCAATAAGGCCGTGGAAAAAAAAGAGAAACACATGGAAAAAATGGAGAAAAAAGGGAGGTAACACTCTCCCAAATCTGGGCTGCCCTCAGATCCCCCGCTAAAAGTTTTCCACTTTTAGTGGGTTAAATGGAAACTGCCAACTCAAAAGGCCAAAAAGCTAAGGAACCGGACGGCTGGGAGCCACTCGCCGCTCTGCCAAATATGGTGGCAAGGGAAAGAAAGCGGATCCGAAGAGAATCCTGCGAGAAAGCCCCCTGAAATGTTCGCATGGGAATGGACCCGGCTCCAAAAACAAAGTGCTGCCATTTTTTTGTGTAGCACATTTTGGAGGGAACCGGTCCTTGATCCGCTTGGGATCAATTAAAGAAGTTCCAAGGGCCTCACATCGGGATTCGCAGAAATCTACGGAAAGGGCCAAAACCATAGGTGTCCTTTTAGGGGAAATCGATGGGTTTTCCTGGTAGATGAGAAAAAACCACCAGGTAAACCGGGAATCGCCATCTATTGTTCTACCAGAACAACCAAAAAGGACACCTAATAGCCAAACCCCATGCGGCGAGCTTTAAGGGGAAGACCGAAGCTCCGCACCGGGAGAACGAAGCACCAGCATGAAAAAAATCGAGAGGCCCCAGGAATCCTCGTCACTTGGGTGTGTCCCTTTTGGGGACCTCCTTTGTGGCAGGTTTTAAAGGGAAACCAAAAGGCCACCGCATCCATGTCGGCGGGTTCCTTTGTGATGCAGTGGCCAACGCCCATCTTTTGGATTTCGCGGGGCCCATGCCGAAAGTTGAAAACAAGGTGCTTGATGTGACCGAACGAGCACGAAAGCACGGGCAACCAGCAAAGCTTGAAGACCCCCAAACCAAGCGCTGCTCCGTGTGATCGATCGACTGCGGGGGACTCCCGGGTGAGAAAGAGGTGAAGAACTACACGCCATTCTTCCAGAGGCATTGGTGGGGAATGACCCATATGGCCGTGGCTCAAACCCCTGGTGAACCTCAAAAATAGGTGGTGACATGGGTGTTTATCCGCCAACATGGAGGTGATGACCCAAGGCCATACAAGCCATCCCACTGGTGGTTTCCTTTCAAGGGATCCCGGGATCCGGTTTTCATTCCCAACACCCGGACTCGGTCATTCCCTACTGCTGCATTAAAAAAGAACGGGGCTTGCAGCATCTTAATGGAAACCCAACCACTAAACCAACTAAAAAGCTAAAACACCTGGGGGGATGGCTCGGAACCACGTGGCACCAAGCTACCCTCATGCATGACAATACAGGTCCCTGAAATAATTTCCCGAAGGCGCAAGGTATCTCGTGCGCTGCGTCACGTGTAAGACTCTTCGCTAAGTTGTTCCACATACTGTTTCGCACTCTCACGCAAGCGCGCTCAGGGAAAGCATGGCAACAAGTGCCAGAATTTCCTTCAGCCCGGCCGACACCTCATGTTAACCCCTGATTCATAAACCTATGAACCCCTGAAAAATGAAGACCCCAATTGCCTGAGTTTGTCGGGGGGCAAATCCCTGTGGTTGTGGCACTCCTCCTGGTTCACAACCATGCCTTGCCTCATGCTGCGGAGGTGGGAAAATCCTGACACGCTGTTTCGCGTGGACCCATCGACCCAAATGATTTAAATGGCATGGCTGCATGTCTGACTGAGGGGCCATGCAAGCGTTTGATGTCTCTTCGTGCGCTGCTAATGTCTAGGGAAGAAAGCAGCTGGACTCCCTTTTGCAGGGGAGCGCCAAATGCCGGGTTAACTATGTTTCAACCCATGCTGTCTAAAAGTGTGCTTCTGGGCCCGCTGTCAAGGCGGTCATGGTCTGGCTGGTTAACCACTATGTGCAGCCCGCCCTGGCCATTTTTTGGACCCTTTCTTCAGGGCTAACATGAAAGTCGATATGTATATATATATATATGACCCCAAGAGTGGCAATGCTTTTACCAACACATGAACCTCTAGCCCCAACTCTGAGTTCGCAGACTCCCGCTAAGAGCTGTCAAAAATCCAAAAAAAGAACACCTACTTCACTGGACTGTCTTCTTGCTTAAAAAGTCCAAAACAAATGCGGGTTCTTGGAAACACAACCACTAAAGAACTGATAAGCAGGCAATAGGTAAACCAACAAAAAATAGGTATAAAACCAAAACAAGTAAGGAAATGGACGGCTGGGAACTGCCAACTTCAGGTAAAGCCAAGGTTTCAACAGGTCCATGGCCGAAATCTTCCGGAGCCGAGGCTTGCCAGGGGCAGGCTGTGGCACACGTCGCCCCTCCTTCGGATCACCCGCCGCGCAACGGCTTGATCGCGCTCGCATCGAAGGCGGGAAACCTCCCAGCGGGCGCCGAGCGACTGGGCTAGGGGTTCAGCGGGCGGTGAAAACGGGCACCCATGGAGGCAAGCCCACTTCCGGGGGTGCCAAGGTACATACCCCTTCTACATACCCCCTGGGGAAATGAACCCCTGAGAGGCCTGCTGATGTTCATACCCCTCTCCCAAAAAGGGGGAATATACTGCTCATAAAGTGGGTTGGAAACTGGGGAAGTGAATGGGTATGAACAAGGAGTATGTACTTCCACCCTTAGACCATTCTCAAAATCGATCTTACAGTTGCTATCCGTTGGCTTCAATTATGGGGTTGCTTAATTCCCAACATCGCAATTAAGGCTGGTATTCTTTGTCTTCCCTTTGCATTGCGACCCAAAAACGGTCCATCATTTTAGGAAAATCAATCCTCGTGCCCAGCCGGGGGCCACGCGAAAAGCAGTTCGGCCGAGGCGTAATGCAGAGCCAGTGGCACTTTCGCCTCAATCGGCGCAAGGGTAGAACATTGTCCCCGAGTAAAGAGAAACACAACCAACGGAAACCAACGGAAACCAACGGAAACCAAAGGAACCAAAGAACACCAAAGAAAACCAAAGAAACCAAAGGAAACACAAGGAAACCAAAGGAAATCAAACTAACTAATTTGCGTTGCCCGGTAAAGGAAACCTAAAGTAGAAACCCTTCACCATTTTTGCTGTTCTTGTGGTTTCGTCTCTTGTTGGGAAACGGCTCGCAGCAACGCTGATGAATGAGACAACTCACAAAAACGCCACGGCAGGTGTCCTTTCTTGGGACATCCGCAGTTGAAAACGCTTGGGAACAGGGTTGTGGGAAATGGAATCCACTTCTGTGATACAACAAAAGGGCCTAACCCCAAAGACTAACACCCCATAAGGGGGAGATTCCCAAAAGTATCGCAGTGGGAATAAACCCCTTGTGATTCCACCCTGCTTGGGAGCCTCCAGCTTTGTCATTGGAAGGAAGACAACACAACGCGCGAGGAATTTTGGCGCTTCCCACACTGAAATGTTTGCTAGGCGTTGGCTCATTCAGATTCGGCTCGTGTGAAAAAGAAAAACGCGTTGTGACCGCCTGGCCAGGGAAGTGTTACCCTACTTCCTTCCAAAGGAGGAACGCACACACACACACACACACACACACAAGCACACACACACACACACACACACACACACACACACACACACACACACACACACACACACACACACACACACACACACACACACACACACACACACACACACACACACACACACACACACACATGCACACACATGCGCACACATGCGCACACACACACACAAGGCACAAACCCTCCAACATATCTTTTGCGAATGCCCCAACCCTCCTATAAAGATCTTTCATAGGAGGTCCGGGCTTTGCTCAAAGGGGGCTTGGATCCCTCGCTGCAAAATCTCATGTGTTAGCCTCCACGCAAAGCTCTGCCTATCACACGGACCAGGTTCCATGCAGGCGAAAGTTGATACTCCTTTCAGAATCAATGAAGTTCTTGAGAAAACCAGCAGAAACAAGTTCACAACTATTCCGCCAACGGAAGGCGCCTTGCCAAAGTGGGCGGGAAGCTCTCCACGTGCTGGCTTCTTTTTTGCATTAGGGTACTAAGCCTGCTTTCAGAATCAATTCTTCAGCGCGTGGAGCTGAGGATTCCCCAAATTCAAGTGACGCCGTCCCGTCCCCTCCTTTTGCTTACGTCCCCACGAAAGAATACAAAAGAATACTTCCAGCAGTGAAATTGATTCCTTTAAACCAACAGAGGAAAAATAGACATTTAAAAAAAAGGTAGTCAGTTCAGCAAATCGAAGGGGGTTGATCAGTATGGAAAATTCGAAAATATTCATTTCGGCAAATCAATTCCCTTTAAAACCAACAGCAAGAAACCAGCAGTGACAGATTCGAAATATTCCTTTCAGCAAATGGAAGACGCCACTTGGCCCGTTTCGCCGCCACAAAACGCCCGCTGAGTCGGGCAAAGGGCACGCAGCAGTTCGCAGAGGCGAAGCGCATCCCGGAGGTTCCAGTCCTAACGCTGGCCATGGGTCAAACGGGAAAAAGGGAAACACAACACCTAGGGTCACCCAAAAAATGCGGAGGGGGGGGGGGGGGAAGGGTGGTCAACAAACACCTAGGGTCAACCAACAAAAAAGGGGGGGGGGAACCCATACGACAGCTTCCTTCCGGACTTTTGGATCCAAAGCGGGTCACTGCTGTACGGAGAACCCAAGTGGTTTGTGTCTCAAAAAAGAAGACCCTTGAAGCAACATCTAAAAGAGGAACTAGTACATAGTATGATTTTTTGATTGGCTGACATCTGGGCTTCCCAAAAAAGTTCCAATCTGTAGTTGCTTGAGGCAACAATATTCGTGGGTGGAAACCAAAGGGCAGCGGTGTCGCATTCTCCATGAGCCGACCAAATATTCCATACGTATGAACGCCCAACAATTCCCAAGGCTTCTCCTTTTCTTGGACACCATGTAATCCTCTCATCTCCGGCACATATCAAACCGAACTCCAGGACGCCAAAGCAAAAGCAAAAAGCAGACATTGCACTGGTCGGTTCCTTCTTGGTGGCCTAAGGCTTGCTACCGCTCACGTCTCGCCAGAAATCCACGCGAATGCGAGCTGAGCGCGCTGCAAAGTCCAAGTGCGCTTCAAATGGCCCGCCTCTCAGATTGCGGCGCAGTGAGTCATCGGCTTCTGGTCTCAACGGCGTGCTTCCGGTACATGGCTGTTTTAACAGTCGAAAGGTTTGCCACTATCTTAACAAGTACACAGTCCAACTCAGGTGAGTGGGAATATGTCTATCCCTCAATCTCTCTAGATGGCCGGGAACTCAGGCATGACGTTCACCTTCCGTACAGACCTTGGCTTCGCCAACTAGCCTCTCCAGTCGCAACCGGTGACACTGGTAGAGATTTTGGAGTGTGTGTGTGTGTGTGCAGATCGGGTCGGATTTGTCGAGCAGCCGCTTAGCCAAGTAGCCACTTAGAGGAAGAAAGAAAAAAACAAAGGCGCAGCAACTTAGCCACTTAGCCACTTAGACTGTTAACCATTCCCCCTACTTTGGGCAGGACTCGCGCCATCTACACTGGTGCTGTAATCAAGCTTTCTAGATATTGATTTTGTAGTAGGGGCCCCTGTTCCTGCGTGCGTTTGAGATTGGGTACTACGGGGAGGCCTTTAGCACCACCTCAAAACCATTACAGCACTGCAAACAATCAAAAACACGTTCATTGATTTCTGCTGTTTACATTCCTTACTCGGAAATGTTTGGAACGCTTTTGGGGTCCGGAAAGGGGAGACCACATTTGCCGAAGAAAGCAGAAGAGGCCAGACCGTAATTCGTGTCCCTACAGTAAAATGACGTGTTTTCTGGAGATTCTTTTTGAGGGGGCGCGGCCAGGTGCGACTGTCGCAGTCGCACCTGGTCGAGCTGGGTCAATTTGGCCACGCAGCCACCCAGCCACTCAGCCAGTGGGAAGCAACCCAGCTCAGCTACTCAGCCACTCAGCCACCAGGAAGCCACTCAACCTCTAGGAAGCCTCTTTGCAACTTAGCCACCTAGCCGCTTTGCCACTCAGCCGCCGGCAAGCCACTTAGCCACTTAGCCACTCTTAAGAGTGGCTCAGTGGCTAAGTGGCTTCCTTTCAGATCCGCGCGCGCGCGCTCAATCAGATTTTGGGGTTGCCCTTCTTGGGATTGACCATTTGCGTCAACTCAAAACCGCTCGATGCTTAAACGGGCTCCCCAAAGCCATGTGGCTGTGGCTCAAAAACATGTACCAAGAAATGGCACCTTGGTGAATGGAAGCAAAGGCTAAAAAAAACCTGCGCAACCCTAGCTCTTCCATTCTGAGCCAGACCCATGTAAAGAATTCTCCAAAGGCGGCCGTACCGATTTGCGGTTGGGACCATCCCTCCTTCTGCCCGAATCGGTTTTGAGCAAGCGGCTCAGCCACAGGGATATAGTGGGTGGAATCCAGTGGACTGCAGATGCGAAGCCGCTCGCAAATACGCAAAGTGTGCCAGTTGCGGAACTCCCGTACTGTGGATGGCCGAAATCCGATTCGCACCACTTGGAAACCAAGTGAAACCAGAACGTTTGTTGGCATTTACAGGGGAATCATCATAAACCAGGGTTTCTTAGGTCGCTCGAAATGGATTTTGTAACCATCCACAGTGGGAGTCCGGGCCTCCGGATCTGCCCTTCGAAACTCGGACTCTGGCGCCTTCATCACTCCCTTGAGCTACTTTTTGCAGCTCCTCCACCAAGAGAACCTGCCATGGGAACAAAATCCACTTCGCACCAGTGGATCAAACCTTACCCCCTACTCCAAATACCCTCTTTTCTCAGGGTATCATGTCGACCCTCTACCATGGTTTTCCCGAAAATACCCTGAAAAAAGCGGGTATTTGGAGTAGGGGGTATGAATACTAGGATAGCCTCCCTGACTGGTGCAGCTTTTTTTTCCATCAATGTGGCTCCCAATAAACTGGGGCGCCACCTACTTTTCCACTTGTTGCACCCGTCGAATCTTTGAGAAACCGCTTGAATTGTCCCTTGCCTACACACACACACCCTACCTCCGAATACCTCCTGTTGTGTATGGTTGTGCTGGTTTTCCACACCTACCCTGAAAAGCGGGCATTTGAAGTCGGCTCACTTCCCGAGTAGATTGGCCAGAAAAAAGTAAACAAACTGCTTGAATTCACCGCCAAAATGGTCCAAACCCAAAACTGGGCTGCCCGTTTTCCGATAGAAGCTTAACTTTTAGCGGGTTAAATGGAAACTACCTTTAAACACTAAAAGGCTACAAGGCTAAGGAACCGGATGGCTGGGAGCCACCAAGAAAAAGTGACTAGAGTCCAAAATGGAACTCAGGAAGTGCGGGGCACACTGCCAGCTCGATCTGTGCAACCGTGGCGGTGCGGCGGCTTTGTCGACCACCTCCTCCCCAATCGCAGCGGCATGCACGTGCCGGCCTTGATTCACAAGAAATGGGCCGTGAGCTGAGAAGAAAAAGGGTTCCACCCTCCTGGGCTGTCCGTTCTCGATCGATCCCCTGCTTTAAAAAAAACAACTGACTTGTGGGTCAAATGGACACCTTTTCTGATCCCCTGAAAAAGTTGAAATGACTTGTGGGTGAAATGGAAACCCCACCACTAAACCAAGTAGAAGCAAAGAAGGCTGGGAACCTCCAAGACAATGGTTCCATCTTTCATTGGCAAGGTAGCAAAGGAAACCCTTCACCATTTGGTCTACCCTTGTCATTTCTTAGCGGAGCACTGGAAAGAAATGGGTGCCCAAAAACTGGGTCGCCTGCTTCCTAGCCCATCTGCCCCGAGCTGGGGCCCCAGGCAAATATGCCGCAAGTCCGCAGATGACCTCGGCCGAAAGGCCATGAATGTAGCCATTGAGGGTGCGTGTCGGTGTTGACCTAGGGGGCCCATCAAATGGGTGGGCGCGTCCGTTGCCTGTTGGCTTCCCTTGGAAAGACCGCCCAAAATAAAACAAGCACGAGCACATCCATTCTTTGCTCAAAGTACATTCCAACAAATCGTGGCTTCGACCGTGGTTTCAAAGTGGTGCGAACGGATATGGCGTGCATCCACAGAATGACTGACGAGCCATCTTTCCATTGATCGATTTGAGGACTCGCCAAGATTCAGCAATCCTGCTGTCTTGATCCTGGGGCCACACTTTGCTTCCCGCTTCAGCAGATCTTCTAGTGACAGCCAAAACTTTGACAAACAAAACCTTAAGTCGTGCCTCCGTCAATAGAAACCTTTGCAGTAGTGTCTAAAAACATTGATGGCCATCCCCACAGAAAGGGTATGGCACGTGGCAATGTGACAAAGAAATCCCTCTCATGGTCATCCAAAAGGCACACGGAAAACTCGGAAATGAGGAGACTTTTCGTTCACTCCGACCCACAGCTGAGGGGAGCTCTCCAAAGAAAAACTGTTCCTCAAGGGGCCCTCTGTGAAGCTCCATGTTGGAGAACGCCTTTCAGTTGTGTCGGGTTGCGAAAAAACCCCAAGAAAACCATCATGGCGAGAGGAATCTCCGATTTGGAGCCCAATTTCAAGTATGTCGATTTGCGGGGGGGGGAGGTGGGGGGATGTTGAGGGTCCCCTTTTTGGGGATCTGTGGGTGTCTGCTTTTTCGGTTGAAAAGGGGAAGCCCGGCCATTTCCTCTGAGTGGTTCCTTCGGCACGCCCGTCTCCAACCCATCTCCAAACCGTGGCCTCTTAGGTTGCGACAGCTGCGAGAGCACTACCCGGGTGAAGCGGTTCAAGAAGGACCGCGGCAGCCCCTTCCGCCCACCTCAGGGGCGGAAAGTGCAAAAGACCAACGTCAGGGCTAAGGTCGCAAAAATAACCATCTCTACTCTTGGTATGGTAGCAAAAAACGTTTTTTTTGCAGATCCCCAGTAAAAATGAACAGAACCAAAACACTAAAAAACCTAAAAAACATGCCAAGAACAGCGAAGTAACGGTTCTAAGAAAAACGGATCACTCCAAGTACACCAGTCAAAAAGCCGTGGTTATGACATACTCGTTGAAGATCCAAAAACGGAATGCGGCAGAATTTCACGGTTAGTTGAGTGTGAAATGTGAGGGCAACCACGACGGTTGGGAGGGGTTTAAAGGGAAAACAAATAATAACAAAAAAACAGGATTTTAGGGGTTCCGTTTAAAGACAAACCCATTTGATATCATCTACTGTGGCAAGGGGAGCAACATTCAGGGGTGTCCAAAGACCAAAACGGCAACCCCGGATTCTTAGCAACCATTCTACCCTTTCTCCTTGATCATCTTGAGGCACATGGTTTACACGTAAGGGCCCATTATCCTGCAAAAAGAAGCTTCCCGAGGCTGTGCGTCACTCGCAGGTTGATCTGGCTGGCTTCTTTGGCCAACCAAACGTAGATGTCTTTTCGGGCGCAAAGGACACCTCTTGCAGCGCGTAGATATGGCCAGAAAGCGAATTCCCATCGCTGCAAACGTGTCCGAAAAAAAATATCCAGTTGGTGGATCATCAAAAGGGAGCGACCAATCCAACTGGAAACGTCCAGGGGACCCCCAGCCAAATTGGCGTCCCTTTCAACCCACTCAAAAATGGGCCTCCTCGCAACATGACATACCCAAATATCAACAGGGTTCATGAGGCTTCCCTTCCCGACGAATAGCCCCTTGCGACATTCGGGCGGTTCTTCTCAGTGGGTAGTGTAGGTTCCCCGTGCGACTCCCCCTGTCCCACAAACCACGAGTGGCCAAAATATATTCATAACCGTTGACGTTTCTCTCAGATGGTCCTTACCAAATGGCAAGCGCAAAAAGTCCGTGTACGGAAGTAGGAATCTAACACAGTGCCACATGACTCGCGCACACCGCAGCCACCACACCACCACTGCCGCCGCCACCGCCACCATTCGGAAAGGGGGCAAGACTTTGGTCCTCGAAACGGCCAGCTCCGTGCCTCCGGTGGTGACGGGGTTCTGCGCCGCGAAGAGCCTCCCAAAGCTTCGCAAGAATTGGGCCCGCCGCCAGTGAAAGGCAGCGACCAATCCAACTCCCGTCCACTTGACATCCGCGTTTTCAAGTGGATCCCAGCTTCTAGATCTATATAACTCGCTGGCTGAGTGGATGGCCCAAAAAAAGGCCCCAAACTTTATATTTCCCACTAAAATGGTCCAGCCCCAAAAAGTTTTTAAAGTTCATGAACTCAGGAAGTGAGAGATCTATATAAACAAAAGGGTCTAAACTTAATTCGGGCTCCAGCACGCCTGAAACAAGCCGGTTCCGAAGCGTTCCGCCTGAACCCCGGATGCGCTTCCACGGTCTGACCGATGGCCGGCAAGAAGACCTGGAGCATTGGAGGCACAAGGAATCTCCGGCAAGTCGCTGCCCTGTGGATGGGCAAACTCCATCTTGCACCCCTCGGGATGGACGGATGACGCCTGCCAGGTGAAAGAGGGAATGCGTGAAAATGACGACCAGATGCCACGCTATGAAAAGAACTGGCATGGTGCTAACCTCAGGCAGGTATCCTCCCCCAAACAGTAGACAAATCAGAGTGTCCGTTGCTCATGTGTGCCCCACGTGTTGAGGGTGAACTTGATTTCAAAGGAAACCAAAAGGAAACCCACCCCATGACAAGTAAACCAACCACATGCAACCCGAATCTCCCCCATGTCTTCATTTTCCGGAGAGACATTTCAGGGGAACGACCCTACCGCCCAGGATTGGAGGCCCGAAATGGGTAAAGCCGATGTCGAGACCCGGGCTTGATGTTCGCAGCAAGGCCGTGGGTCAAAACCAATGGTGCCATTTTATTTTGACCCATGGCCAGGTTTGATTTGACACATCAACTCTTCCTTCCAGAACCGAATATCCGGGGCTTTGCCATCTCAGGATCGACTTGCAGGAAGACAAAGAGTGGCAAGGGTACAGCTTCCCCGAGCACGGCAAAGTACCCCCCCGCCCCCAAATGTACGATCGCTTGTTGGGGGTGGCTTTAGGATGCTTCAGAAAAAAAGTAGGGAGCTGTTCCAGCCTTCGGAAAGCATTGGGGAGCGGGGGTGTTGCGGGAAACTGGTATGCGGACACATGGGTGTGTCGTTCTTTTAGGGGGAATTCATACAACTGGGCTATCCTCGGATCCCCGGCTAAAAGCTTAACTTTTTCCTTGAATGGAAACCCAACCACTAAACCAACAAAAAAGTTAACAAACCTCAGCAACCGGATGCTGGGAACCACCAAGAAGAGGCGCCTAAGTCAAAATCAAAACCGATCGGTACCAAAATGGTGAACCCACAACCATGCTTCAAGAATTAGCAATGCGGAATTCCGCACGGAGTTGACTGGTTGGGACTGTCCCTTACTAACCTTCATCTTGCAGGGTTTTGAGCCCACCTGCTCACCTGAAAAACGACTTCCTGGGACCCCAAACAAACAGATGGTTGGGAACCACCAATGTAAACCCAACCACTAACCAACTAAAAAACAACAAAAACTAAAAACCTATTAAGCAAAAAAAACTCGGCTTGCCACCCACCACAGGCACCTCCCCATCTGTGGCCCATCCTCTCCCGATGACTCGGCCCAGTGGCTTCTCGCCGATGGTCCAGCAGCGCATTCAGGCCCTCCAAAGTGGCCTCCGAAACGCACGCGGAGGCGCGCGGTTCGTCGCTTTTTGTTGTTGTTTTCTCGGCGTCGGGAGCCGGAGCCCCCCGGAGAAAAACAAGAGAGAGAGAGAGAGAGAGAGAGAGAGAGAGAGAGAGAGAGAGAGAGAGAGAGAAAGAAAGAGAGAGAGAGAGAGAGAGAAAGAGAGAAAGAGAGAGAGAAAGAAAGAGAGAGAGAGAGAGAGAGAAAGAGAGAAAGAGAGAAAGAGAGAAAGAGAGAAAGAGAGAAAGAGAGAGAGAGAGCAGGACGCTGTGATTGAGAAACAAGTGTCAAACGGGGCGGTTGTCTCAAAATATGAGATATGGGTACACCAAATGGAGGGTGTTCCTTCCTTTTGATTTCCCCTTGAACCAACCCAAAATTATTTCTTCACCCTAAATAAGCCCAAGTCTAGGCTGCCGCGGAACCCCTGAAAGGAGCCCTCCTTTCGGAACCTCCCTGAAAGCCGCCCCAGACCATTTTAGAGCCGGCAGAGACCCCATAGCTTCCAGCTATTGGGGCTAAAACTGATTTCTTTTTGGTTGCCTTAAAAGCAACCAACGAGGGGCCTCAGGGGTACCATTAAAACAAAAACAAAAAAACTCGGCAAAGGTCCTTTGTTGGTGATTTGGACATCGCCTTTTTGGGGTGTTTTCTCTCGAGCCTCCTACTGCCGCGGTGTTCCGTGCGGCTGGACCCTGCAAGGAACCCTAATGTTCACCCCTTCGAGCGTGCCCTCCAGGGGAGATGGAAAAAAATCGACCCAGCACACCCTCCTGTCCATGAACAGGACACCCGGGTTCCCCTAAGGAAAAAAAATCGTCGAGCCCGAAAGGTCCAGTTTTCCATGTTGCCACGTGGACAGGGTAATCACCCTACCCTTGTGGTTGCCTCCCACGTCAAACACCAAATCAGCGCAGCATCGGAGTGGAAGCCTGCGTTGTTGGGACAATCCGAGGCTCCCACGCCGAGTCCCAATGGTCCCCCGGCCCCCGTATCTTTGCTTGCTTCTTGAAGCCGGACACAAACTGGGAAAACTAAAAAGCCGCTCAAGCAAATGAAAGCTGGGTTCATTGTACCGTTTTAAGATGGGGCTCTGTTGAAGGAAGGCAACCTGAGTCACCAAATGACACCAAGCAAGTTGGTTCAAATTCCAGCTGGTTTTTCTCAAACCACCCAGCCACCGGCCCCCATGCCCGCACGCGCCAACGCGCACGCACCCACGCACCCACGCACCCATGCACGCACGCACGCAAAAATATATTTATTTACGAATTTAAGTGCTTATTAATTTAAGGATTTATTCCTTCCTTCCTTCCTTCCTTCCTCCCTTCCTTCCTTTCCCTCCCTTCCTCTCCCTTCCTTCCTTCCTTCCTTCCTTCCTTCCTTCCTTCCTTCCTTCATTCATTCATTCATTCATTCATTCATTCATTCATTCATTCATTCATTCATTCATTCATTCATTCATTCATTCATTCATTCATTCATTCATTTCATTCATTCATTCATTCATTCATTCATTCATTCATTCGTTCGTTCGTTCGTTCGTTCGTTCGTTCGTTCATTCATTCATTCATTCATTCATTCATTCATTCATTCATTCATTCATTCATTCATTCATTCATTCATTCATTCATTCATTCATTCATTCATTCATTCATTCATTCATTCATTCATTCATTCATTCATTCATTCATTCATTCATTCATTCATTCATTCATTCATTCATTCATTCATTCATTCATTCATTCATTCATTCATTCATTCATTCATTCATTCATTCATTCATTCATTCATTCATTCATTCATTCATTCATTCATTCATTCATTCATTCATTCATTCATTCATTCATTCATTCATTCATTCATTCATTCATTCATTCATTCATTCATTCATTCATTCATTCATTCATTCATTCATTCATTCATTCATTCATTCATTCATTCATTCATTCATTCATTCATTCATTCATTCATTCATTCATTCATTCATTCATTCATTCATTCATTCATTCATTCACATATATATATATGTTTATTTATTTATTAAATTATTTATATTTATATGCACCCACACACACACACACCTACCCGCCTAAAAACACCCACCCACACACACACACACACACACACCCGCTCTCACTCCCTCGCTCTCTCGCTCTCTCGCTCTCTCTCTCTCTCTCTCTCGCTCTCTGTATTGTCACCCTCTTGCAAGTGCTTTCTACCACCTTGTTTGAGACCCGTTTGGCACACCTCCAAGGGGAAGCCACGCTTCCCGCGCCTGCGGAGCCAGGTTGATCTCATCCAGCAGCACCCAGTCCTCAGCTTTCCGACTTGGATGTCCAGCCTCGGCTTAAGTTCATCTTCATGTAGTTTCCATGGATGGATGTAGGTTGGATATATGGATGTACGGATGTTCATCTTATGTAGTAAGGAGGTTGCAACCATGGATTTGGTTTTGTTTTGTTTTTTAATGGATGAACTGAATTTCGCTCCCTTATATCCATGGTTACAACCTGCCCATCCAGTTAAATGGGTTGAACACCAAACCAGGCAGCCCGAGGGAACTCCCCTACACGCCGAATGACCGACAACAACCGACAACCCAAAAAAGTCAGCTGTACATTGAGCCCAATCTGGAGTTATTTGGTGCACATTGCATCTGGATGAATGGATTTACATGAGCCATTGGATTCAAAAACCCAATCATGGATTCTCATATTCTCCTGAACATTGCCTTCAGGCTTCAACTAGTTTATAAAGGCTAACAGGAATCAAATGGGGATGTGTGTCTCCTGGTTTCCAAAAACAAAAAACGAGAGGAAAACCGAAGCCAAAGCCTGGTCCCCAGTCGGCACGGGGGCTGACAGGGCCCCGACCCCCTGGCGCATGGCGCGCAGCAGTGGGCCGTCGCACCATCGGAAGGTGGCAGCCTGCGGCTTTGCCACGAAATCCAGAAGAAAATGATTTAGCACCCAAATTGTGTGATGATAAAAATTGTTGTGAGGTTCCATTAGATCACATTCGGAAAATATTGTGAAACAATGACGTGGACGTGGGCGGGGGCCCTTTTTCTTTGCGTAGCATGTAGAAGGGCTGCTCGTCTTTTGAGGGTATTCTCTCTTTTGCAGGTATTAAAGGGAATCCAAAAAAAAATATGTTCTTTCTTGGTCCGTATTTGTGACCGGCATATCAACGAACACCTGAGAAAGAGACAAAAAAAGGGGAGTGGTTTTTGTCAAAGACATGTCATAATGCAGGGTTTCCTGCTCACAGTATATGTCTTCTGCAATTTGTATGTGCGCACATGCACGTAAAGCATGTATATGCACTCGATCACTGCACACCCTCACACGATTACATGTATATACAAGTATACACACGTATATACACACATGTAGATACACATCCTGCACATAAACATCAACATGCATGTATATAGATGCACTTTTTTGGGACTCCCTAATTCTATGACCAGCGGTTGGTATTTACTGGGGAATCGTATCAATCCAGGGTTTGCCTAGGTGCGAACTGGATTTCGTCCATGCACAGTAGCTCCCTAACCATCTTGCCGACCAAGCGAAGCCCTCGTTTTCTGCGGGCTCTTTGATGATCAAGTTCGTGCTGTCCTAGGTCTTTACCTCGGAGATAACTATCAAGCGCCTTCCTTCTTCATCGTGGAGGGGTGGCGTTCCGCGCACAAAATGCAGACATGCCCTGAGTGAGCGTTGCTGACTTGCCCAGCGACCGCAAAGTGATGAAGTATCTGTTCTTGCTGGCTGAATTCGAAGCGAAACTCACCCCAAAATAAAAAATAAGCCCAAGTGTTCCTGGAACCCCCTTTTGACTAGAGCCCTCCTGGAAACCGCCCCCCAAACGAGCCTAGGGCCTATCGACCAAATCAATGGCTTTCAGCTGGGGAAAAAGGACGCCCCGGCGTTGCCAGCCCAGTGTCCGTGTCACGCGGGAGTTCCAATAAATGTAGCTTCTTGCCGGCGAAATTGGAAAGAGGACGTATTTCTCAGGGAAAAATACCATTTTTTCCTGTTTTGTTCAAAAGGAAACGGAAACTAACAAATCCAAACGAAACGAAACAGCGCACAAATTATCATGGAGAACAAAACAAAACGAACCGGGGGTTCCTTTTCGGGCCACAGGCCACACGCGCCGACTTCGCCGACTTGGCCTCGCCGGGCATGGGCAGATCGGAGCCGAGCAGGTCCAGCCTGCGGCGCTTTTTGGTCGGAGTGCGGCGCATTGTCCACTGGTTTGATCAACATGCCTGCACCCTTGTTTTCTGCCTTCGCATTTCAGGGCAAATGCCACAGAAAGGTGAGGTTTCAGGGCTGTGTTTTTGCGTTTTGACAGAGGTGGCCATGGGTCAAAATCCAATTCGTAGCCCCAGTGAACATCGACCAATCCCCACTAAAACAGGTTCTAAAATGGGTGGTGAATTCACCTACCAACCAAAATGGGATACCAAAACGGTTTTGACAACCACAGCCATATAACCGGACTTGTGGTCTCAGGACGGAGAAGAAGCAGTTCCTGTGGTAACAGGACGTGTGTATATGTACATATTATATATATATAATGTCTCTAGAAAACGGTTTGGATGTGGTTGTTGTGGTTCCACCCTGTAGAAGGTTAAAAGAGTACTAAAAGAGTACTAAAAAAGGACCAACAGGGGGAAGGACAGGTGAAATCCACAAAAGGCGCATCCAAACCGTTTCCTAGAATGTCTCCCCAATGAACCTCTATGTGGGGGTTGCCTGTTTGGCCCCCCGTTCTAAGAAATATGTTCTTCTCTCCTCTCGTCTCCAGTGGCGGACTGGTGGCACTGCTGTCAGCTGAAGTGAACCCAAAGCTGAGGCGGGAGCAGGTCAGTCTGCTCCGACAAATTCACGCGGAGCCTCAAGGCCACGGCTACACATACAGACTATGACTTCCACGCAAATGTAGCTCAAGGTGGGATCAATCATCCTGTTGGTTCCACGCAAATGTTTGTATACTATGACTTCCACTTCAACTATGACTTACACTTCAACTATGACAAACTTTACTATGACTTCCTGCGCCCACTAAAGGCGAATCATCCTGTCGCAGGCTTGCCGCAGGCATAGTCCGTGGGAGCAGGACGGTCCATGTTTTCTACATGAGCAACGGCCAACCTTCACCATCTATTGATGGAAAGGGAATGGCATTGGGCGAATCAATCACCCTTGAGAATCAATCACTTGGGTCTGTCTGAAAAATTCGGCAACCCGACCATCATGATTGGCTGTTTGTTGGTTGTTTGAACCATCCAAAGGGTGCTTTGCTATAGTGGGCTGCATTTCGGTCTGCATGTGGCTCTTCCAAAAAGCGGATGTCTTTTGTTGCACCCGAACGGAGAAATAGAGGGCACCGGGATCTTTTGCTTCAACTCACCTTTGGGGAGGTTTCACCTGAGTCCAATCCACAAACGGCCCCTTCAATCCAAACCTGCTGGCCCCATTCATTCTGGTTGTTCAACCAAACCGAGCCAAAGGGACACCTCGGCCCTATGATCCACAGCCCAAAATGGCTTCAAAGTACCCGCCAACCCGCGCAAGTCACGTCGGCCCTCGCACCAAACCCACTCGGAACGCTACGGGACCGCCGCTTCAATATCCGGAGACTTCAACAGGCCAAGGATTTCATACCGCCGCAAGGGCGACCGCAGGCCCCGTCGCAATATCCCCGACTTCAAATTGGCACTTTGCGTATCTTGAAAGGTGGCCTCCGGCCCAGGCTGGCCCAAGCTGGAGCTGGGCCCTCCGGATTTGAGAGGTTGGAAGAAGCGTATCTCTGTTGTCTATTTGGGGGAACCTTCCCAACCCAAAAAAGGGGTGAGCAGGGCACTTCGGGGTGGGTCCTAGTAAGCATCCGGGAATGCTCGGGCTGGAGGGGCTGGAGGGCTGGAGGGCTGGAGAGGGCTGGAGGGCTGGAGGGCTGGAGGGCTTGCAGCCGCACTGGTTTTGAAGGCTGGGCTGGAATGGAAGGGAGGGCTGGATGGCAAGCAGAGCCAGCACGGAGGAGCTGTGTGCCAGGGGCTTAAGCTGTTGCCATGGACCCCATATGGGGGACATCCTTCAGGGCCAAGGCAATGATCAGCTCTTAAGGCCTTACAAACCAGGGAGAGTCCTGTGGGGAGAAGGGGTCTGATCCCATCGAAACACAGTCCTTCATACCTCCAAGGCCCGTGAGGGTCGGCCTCCACACATCATGCCGTCCTAAGAATAATAAGAACTCATGGAGCGCGAAGGGGGCGAACTGGGGAGGGGGGGCTATCCCTTAAGGCCTTACTAAGGGCATATCCTTGGCTGATCCTGGGCTTATCCAGGGATAGTCCCATGAAACAACGGAATTACAGTCATATATAATGACAATAATAATAGACATAAATAGTAATAATGAAAAAATACTAATGACCATGGTTAAAAACAAAAAACTGCTAACGATAAGAATATAAATCATCTTCATCATAGTACTCACATCATGAGAATAAACACATAACCGCAATAATGGCTCAAAGCAAAGGAGTTCCAATAGACACAGGATTAAAACCTCCTTTTTGCATGGCCGCCTGGAAAAAACGGGAAAATCTATCCAGAGGTGAAATCGATTCCCTTCAAAGCCAACAAGGGAAATAACACATGCTCTTGCTCGCTGGCGCGAAAGGCAGGCAATGTGGGGGGCCGAACCCAGGCCTTGGGCCCCGCAAAGGAAGCCATCACTTGGATGGTTTGTCTTCATTGCTCATTCCCTGTCTCACCAAGCTTTTGCAAGAACACATTCATTTGAGCAAACGGGTATCTTTGAAGACATGTGTCTTCCGAAACCAATTCTCAAGCAAACGGAAGAAGGAAAAAAGAACTCCAATCCTGAAGCCAACGGATGATGAGAAAAATGAACCCGAAAAAATAAGCTCAGGTGATATCCCCAACAGCATGCCGTGCTCTTTTTGGTGCTCGCACCATCCCGCAGCCTTCGCAGAACCTCGTGGAACCCCGGTGCTATCTGGGCTGAGACCCCAAAGCTTTCAGCTGTTGGGGAAAAAACAACAAAAAAACACATGGGTGTGGCTCAAACTTGACCAGGAGGGGGTTAATTCCGCAGGTTTTGGTTTCCGTGCTTCCACCTACCGATCGGCCAACCCATTTTGGACTTCCGGTTTTTTGAATTCGCCGCCATATCGGCGCCTCCCTTTGGCCTGGGCCTCGGGCAGGCGCCGCCCGGTGCTGCTGGCCAGGGCCTGCACTGTGGCCGTCTTCCCCAGGCCAGGCGGGCCTCCAGCGCTCGAAATCGGCGGCGTCAGCTGCAGCTCGCTCGACCGTTGCGCTACCCGCGTAGTAAAAAAAGAGACGGAAGGAGGTGTGGTTTGTGGTTTTTTCAGGGGTCCGAAAATGAAGAGAACCAACAAAAGAGGAACAATAACACCAGTTGTTGCTTTTTTCCAGGGTTCCAAAAATGAAGAGAACCAAGAAAAGAAAAAACACATGAAGAAAAACAATCACCTGCGGTATGTGTCTTTCCAGGAATATCCTTATCATTGTCGAAATGTCCCTGAAGGTTGATGACAATCTCTACCAACCTCAACCGTTGAGTCCAGAGTACTGATGGACAAATCCACACCGAATGGATGAAACCCGAACTAAAACCTGGGGGTAAATCGCCAACTGGTGCACGAGTTCGTCCACCCGCAGTATGGTAGCAAAAAACTTAAAGTGGCTTGCCGTCAAGGTAAGAAGGAAGAGAACCACCAAAACGAACAACCTAAAAAACACGCCAACAACAGTGAAGCCAAGAGGATTTGTGTTCTTGCAAGTATGGTGCTACGTTAGCCCTTGGACAAGTTAAGCACCTAGAAATTGACTTGAGAGCAGACACCTTGAAGACACACTGTTCGGGTTCCTGCACGTTCCAGCGAAGAGTACCAGCGGCAAACCCTGATCCTGGCAAATCCCGCTAGAAGCATGGAACATTCATAAACGATGCAAACTCCAAGGAAATTTACAGGTGGCAATGAAATCAGCCGAATCATAAACCATGAGTAGAGCTACGAATTCAGAATGCGCCTCAGAGATTTGAGGCAATTTGAGTAGTGAGGCAACGGGTGAAGCGTGACAATCATTACAATTCACCAATCTGAAAGAAGTTGAGGGACACCCTAAGATAGGAGAGCCCTTCAGGCGGGTGAGTATTTGCCCAGAAACTAGTTCACAAACTAGAAACCAGAAGCCAAGTAAAAGACCTTCACAATGGGTAAGCTTGCGTTACCTCATCGTCGAGCTCGGATGTTTTTTTCCCCCGTTTTCGCAGCCGATCCTATCTGGCAAAAGCTCATGGTTGTGACGAGCTTCCTCGATATTTCCTGGTTTGTGCACAATGCGGGGCCTATAATCCTGATCCGTAGTGATTGACTTTTCGCGGGACACAACTACAACCGCTACCATCCGGCAAAGGATTGAGGTCTGATTCCCAACAAACCAGGCTTACCCCAGCTTGCCCCAATTGATATCCCAGTTTTACCCAGCTTTACGGTTAAAGAGAAAATGAAGGAACCCCAACAGGGCAAAAGGGCAAAACGGCTGCTTTGATCTGGCCATGTTTTCCGAACCAAGAGGAAATTGGACACCTAGCTGTCGATTGGACTGCCCAAGCAAGTCAATTTCTAGGACACGTGGGTACCTGGGACTGGCTTTGGCCAACTTGCGAGCGCAACATTTTGCGCCTCGCCATCCCTGCAAAGGGATTACGGTATCAAAATGGCCTGCCCAAATCGATCGATTTTGATACCGACTATCAAAACGTCCTTATCAAAATGGCCTATCAAAATCGCGGTAAGGAAATTAAAAAGGCGGCCGCAACAATTACATGGCTGGGACTGCCCCCTAGCCTCCACCTACCCGGATATTGACTGTGGCTCCTTGACTTATCCAAAAAAATCCTGACTTGCTTCCCCTTGGCTTGGGTAAGAGAGGCCTCATGCACGGGCGGACCTATGCGTTGCCTCCAGCCGAACTCTCTTCAATCACTGGGTTTCCGAAAGCCTTGCTGCCTGAAGATTCGGATCCCAGAGGACTGCCCAACTGCAGCCAATGAACAGACCCCTCCAATTCGGCAGCTTTGATTTTGTGGACCGATAGAATTCGCTCGAATTTCTGTTCCAGGTTGCATGTTCCAAGTGGCACCTCTCACTTGTCATCGCCGAATTCTTGCTATTTCAGCCCAAAACGGCCATTCGTCCAAAACTGTGCGGAGTGAAGCATCCATCTCTACATTCTTGGCTGTGGAAAGCAACCCTTTCTGCACCACAGCAGGCCATCCCTTTAAAAGGGAAAAGGTGCCTCGTGTCACGGAAAATAGATAAGAACCAAGTTGCGCAACTATGTTGACCCGTGTCCTTCTTCAACCACGCTTTCGAAAGGTTCGGATGAGCGGGGAAAATCGCACAACATGATTCTTCCAATTTGTCGTCACCAATTGCAATGCCAGGCTGCGTCGAGTCTTGACACCCGAAAACCGCGGGGGAACCCGCGCATCCGGCCTTCCAGTAGAACGGCTTTGGGCTGCTGCAAGGCTCGCACCAGGCGACCTAGGCGATCTGAAGCGGCTTGGAGCCCGGCGATTGCCCAGAGGCAGGCACTTCCTATGTCTCGCCCACTTTACCTCGCTCTTCGCGTGCTTGCCGCTGAAATGGTCCAAATCCCAGACGTGACTACAGTCCCAGGAATTCAGGAAGTGAGATACGAAGGAAAACTTTGCCCATGGGTCACATGGTCATTGTCACAAGCTGTTGGCAAAGGGCGACTTCTGTCTAGTTGGCACCCTTGTGACCCAACCCCGTTCTTTGTGCTGCACCAGCACCCTCCAGTTGTCAAACTCAATCTCAAAGCACGTTCAGAGGTTTGAAGGGAGAACCTGAGCAGGTGGGTTCAACCACACGGCTGTGTGCTTGCGAAGCCAACTCACAAATCTCGGCTGCCCTCACATCCCCTGCTAAATTAGTTTTACTTTTGGTGGCTTAAACGGAACCCCCCGCGAAACCAACTCAAAAGGCAAAAAAATAAAGGCTAAGGAACCGGACGGCTGGGAGCCACCAAGAAATCTTCCAGCCCTAGCCATCTAAATATTCAGGTTTCCCCGCGGCAAAAAGGCTTCGAACACCTTTCGGTTCAGATCCACCACCAAAACCGGACAAATCGGCAGGCGGCCGGCCATTTCTGCAGCGAGTCTGTTCATCGGTGCCGGGACGGCAATAGACTCGACGCATGCATGCGTGGCATGCAGCTTGGCAAATTGTTTTGAAAAAATGAGATCTCCGCCATTGGGACCTTGCAAATTCATAGGGTTCGCCTCATGTGCAAGATGCCAAAAAATCTGAAGCTGGTCGCTTGGAGAAAAGGCGCAAGGTTCCAACCTTCACCTCTAAAAGGTCGGTCCTGTACCAAAGAGGTCGGTCCTGTACCAATTCAGCAAAACCTGACCGACGCCGCCGCTCTTCCTACCTTCCAGCGCTGTCCTTTTGCCACTGTGCACCCACCAAACACTCATGACGGAATCTGAAAAGCACAGCCCTGCTCGGTGCCCTGGGAGAGGTCAAAACGCACCTTTTCAGACGAAAAAACATGTGTCTGTGGGTCACAAAGGCATGGGTTATGACCCATGACCATGTGTTTCCCGTGGAAAGCTCTGCGTTTTGGAAATTTGGAGCAAGGAACTCCCAACAAACCTGCGACCTCAACCCCGACTCAAGGAACGCCCGCCGCTCCGGAAGTGGCCTGGCAGGGAAGACGGTCGCAGCTTCCAAGTGATTTATATCTTTGTTGATATGAGGACTGCTTGTTTGTATGTACAGCTAGATCTGGGTGTACTTCCCTACATACTTTTTGTATACGTATATACCTGGGGCCGGTTTGTCCCTCATTTTTGTGTCTGGCCTGCTTTTTGGATTGAAATACGCCCCTTTCGTGAGAATACGCCCCTTTCATAAAAATACGCCCCTTTCATAAAAATACGCCCCTTTCCAAAACAGCGCGTGTCTGTCAAAATGTTGTTTGCTCCACGTGATACACCTTTGCTTTACTTTAAACTGCTGCTAGTTCTCGAGAATGGGATGAAAATACGGCTTTTTTGGGCGAAACAGCTAACAACGCGCTTACGCTCTCACACCGCTCCAACAAACCACACGTGGAAGACATGTGGCCCACCAACCTGACCAAGATCCCGCTAAACGTCCGGATTTTCGCTGCTTAGGCCTGCAGTTTCAACGGCTATTTCAAAACGATGTGCTGTTCAGTTGTCTTCTCAGAGCGGGAAAGACTACAACAACTCATTTGACAGATCTGCTTTTAACTGGATGTTGCACCGCAGGTGCTGCGTGTTTTGCTTACTGATTGTTTCTGCCCTTGCGCAGCAAGCGTGCGCCAGTCCAACACTGCAACAACCACCGCGCAAAATGCAAGAACACGCCCGTGCATTGGCATGCCCGATGGGTATCACAGCTGAAAGGAAAATCATACCAACAAGCCCGCGCTACAGTAACGCTAGCAGTCAACAAGCGGCAGCATGACTTTGGACCATACGTGCCCATATGCAACATCACAAAAACAAACAATTGCTGACATCCAAAGTGGCCAGGACTGTTGCGCCAATCAAAAGCAAGGCAACCTCTATACCTGCGCTTCACCCAAGCAGCAGGCACCAGAATCGTAAGTAAGCACTCACCCATGAAATCCCGAAAGCCAGTCAATGCCGAGGGCGCAAATTGCGGTCGTTTCCCTGAAACAGCAGCCTGCTTGCAGCCCCAAACAGTGCCGACAGGTCAAGATGAAACATTCCTGCCCCATAGCCGAAATCTGTTTGGCGCACGGGGCGATGTTACAAAAACAATGGTTGAGAGCACGAATGCTCAAACCGCAAACATGCCAAAAACATGCTAGAATACGTACAAAGTACGTATTTCTGTACGCAAAAATACGCCCTTTGTACGCAAAAATACGCCCCTTGTACGGGTACTGGCTCGGCATACCAAAAGTACGTACTCGGTACGTATTTTGTACGTATTTTGTACGTATTCGGCATCTGCGGAAATCCAACAAATCTCATGAAGTTTTCCGAAAGCAAATATCCCAAGATCGAAAGCCGGCATTTAGAGGTGCGGGCGCACTTGCGAAATTGAAGCCTTTGCAAAGCTGAGCCGAAACTTGCTGTAGCGGGTGCAAAGGTAGAGTGTAGATTTGTTTTCCAAGGATCTTACTTCTAGAACAGCATGCTCAGTTAGTTTATGCGTAAAGGCCTGCAAGTAAGTGTCCCAATATGAAGAAAACATATTTGTGCGTCAGTGGGCTGCTTTAGTGGAAGTTCCGCAGCAAAATGCGCGTCGGTAGGGGCTTCCACAATGGATCATGCCAGGATTGATTTTTAGCAAGGTGCACCTACCATACATACCTGCACGTGTTCACTGTCAGCGGGCAAAGCTAGGCTGTCCAAGCCAGGAACGAAGCAGATCAAGGCTGTCTATGAAACGCTTTGGTTGGTTGTTGAATTGCATGTCGGTGCTGTGCATGTGCGCATCGGCGCTTTCATGTGATAAAAAGCACAAAATTGTTAGCTAGGGATAGTCTGGCACATGGCATGTCTCCAGCAGGAGTAGACGTGGCATGCTTGATTGACTTGGTCATGTGCAAATTGCTTGCTTGTAACCCTGGGTCCGAAGTTTACCTTTAGATTCGTCAATACTTCCAGGCTAGCATCCTAGAGTTATAGTCTGGTTCCACTTGGGGTTGAACGAAAGAGACTGATTCGAATTTGATGGCAGGAGATCATGCGTGGAATCCATTGCCTTCTGTCTCTTATGCGTCATTTCTTAAACCCGAACAGTCAAGCTTTGTAGTCAAATCTCATCATGTGGTGTACAAGTTCACTATGATTCGTGAAAAGCTCAAATGAGATGCTACATCAGGTCAAATGCTGGTCGTACAGGTCGTCTAAAATGACAGCTGAACCGGGCTTCCTAACAAAATACGACCTTTCCCCAAAAATCGGCCTTTTTCTCAAAAACCAGGTTTTTGGAACCAAAACCAGGTTTTTTTGAAAGGCCTACAAAAACGAAGGACATTTGGGCTCCAGGTATGTATACGTGTATGTGTATATATATATATGTATGTATGCTTATGTATGCAGAAATATATATATATATATATATACATAGATTGTGTTGCGTGCAGGAGTGGGCAGGAGTTTGCGGGAATTGGCAGGCAGGCAGGCAGCGGGCGGGCGGGCGGGCGGGCAGGCGGGGCATGTGTGCGTGTCTGCATGTATGTTAAGCTATGCTGGGTTCTGTTCCGTTTTGCTTTGTTCTGTTATTTTGTTTATGTATGCGTGAGACTGCCCCCTGCTACTCTCCAATTACCCTTGTTTTGATGACGGCTCACGCCGTCCATCTAACCAGGGAGTCAGGAGAGGAGACTCCTCTAGATCTGCGCATCTTCCGGCAGGGGTTTATGGACTCAGCAATGGAACTCTTTTTGCCGAAAGCATCGCGAAGGGTTCTTCGGTGCGGGGTTCAGTCTAAATTACACAGAGTGTTTGCACAGAGTGTTTGCCCCCAGAGTGTTTGCACAGAGTGAGTTGTACAGAGCCAAGTTGCACAGAGCCAAGTTTCAAAGAGCCAAGTCACACAGAGCTTGCACAGAGCCAAGGCACGCAGAGCGAAGTGCACACAGCCAAGCGTATAGAGCCAAGCGCAAACAGCCTAAGTTGCACAAAGCCACGTCACACAGAGCCAAGTACGCAGAGACAAGTGCACAGAGCCAGCTGCATAGAGCCAAGTGCATAGGGCCAGGTGCACAGAGCCTGGCCCTAATAGAGCCAGGTGCACAGAGCCAAGTGCATAGAGCCAAGTGTAGAGCGCCAAGTGTGTAGAGGCAAGTGTGTAGAGCCAAGCGCATAAAGCAAGAGGATTGGCGTCAGCAGCTGTGTAAGTTGACGCTTGTGAAAGAAAGAAAGAAAGAAAGAAAGAAAGAAAGAAAGAAAGAAAGAAAGAAAGCAAGAAAGAAAGAAAGAAAGAGCTCAGCAATAAGAATCTTCTTCTTAAGGCGGGGGGGTGGGGTTGCCGGCATGGCTCGGGATTGCGACCCTCTGACGACTTCTGCGGTGCGCGCGACCCTCTGCAGAGATCCGCGCGGTCGATGTTAAGCGGTTTCTGACCTGCGCGCGCGACCCTGTGCGGGGATCGCGCGTGTCGAGGCGCTCTTGCTGCGGCGCCGTGCGCATTCGGCTTAGTCTGGGCGAATCCTCCGCGGAGAGCGTGCGCGTCAAAGTGCTCTCGCTGGCGCCCACAAAATGGCCTTTGGAAGTTGTCGAGTGGTTTGCGCGCCTGCTTTCGCAATCCTCTCTGGCAAAAAACGCAACTTTAAAGTAGGAACGTAACGCGAATAGAGGAAACTTGTGCAGAGCAACTTGTACAGAGAACTTGCTTGGAGATCTTGCTCAGAGGAACTACTTGCTCAGAGCAACTTGCACCAGGGAACTTGCTTGGAGAACTTGCCGCCGCTGCTAATGCTTTCGGGTCACCCATCTTCTAGATTTGTA